TGCCCAAAACTGGATAGCAACTCCTTTTGTACCACAATATTCCTAAACTTCTAAAAATTATTACAGAATCTGTATTACATGTCTTAAAAAATAAAGGTAAAAAAATTTCGAAATTTTGGCTTGAAAAATGTTAATTCCGGCCGAAACCTGAATGACCTTAAATTTACAAAATCCGGCCAGAACGGAATTCTAATTAAAATATACATATATGCATATATATATATATATATATATATATATATATATATATATATATATATATATATATATATATATATATATATATATGCATATAACTGCTTTTTACAGCAGCTAAAAGTTAGTAGCAGTTAACATTTTTTGCAAATCTTAAATCAATGTAATTAAATTAAATAGAACATTAACATTAAATAATACATTAATCTAATATTAAATAAAAAATTAAAGTTTTATTTAGTTTTTAGAAAAAAATAATTGATAATTGTGTCCAGAACCTCTATAATAACATTTTAACTAGTCCCTTCCAAGCAACAACATTAATCTTCTTTATGAGACTGAGGAAAAAAAAAAAAAATCTTTCAGTGATGCAGTTCGAATGAACTTCAACTGCATTTATCCATTTCTCCAACTTTACATTTATTTACTCATCTGCACCAAGACAGTTACTCAGACACAGGAAGTCATTCACATTTTCAGATGATTAAGAAACTCAATTTATCTGTACAATGTGACTAGCAAGAGAACCTTTAGGGTAAAGGACAGCCCTCTGTATCAACGCATACCATTCTCAATTGAGTCTTCCTTATGTTCAGAATCAGACTCAGATGAAACAGCCAATAGGACAAACTTTCTCATTTATGGCTTTGATAGTGTTGCTTCTATAGATTCTTCTGCAACAACCCTCTGTCCTTTTAATAAGTTAATGACTAAAGACCACACCTCACCTCTCTCAACTCTGGGTATACAATTGAGGTACAATGCGGTTGCAATCTTTAGATATGCAATTTTGGAATTGTCCTCACGTGTCTCCAGGTCTGTTCTGAATGTATAAGGTCTACTTTAAATAGATTTTATTTACTTATTATCTACGTCAGAAGCAAAAATGACACCAGAAAAAAGTTTAGATTTATAACTTGGTTGATATCTTTTTTTAAGTTATTTATTATTTGCTTTTTATTTTCAGCTACAACTTCTTTAAAAAATCACCTTCAAAACAAACATTCTGAGCAGCACACTAAATTATGTGGGGTTTTGTTGGGAAATAGAAGAAAAATGAAAGCAATTAATAGCCTAATTCCAACAATTCTAAGAAAACAGGAGTACCAAGTATATCAAAAAAGAAGCAATTAACTCTAGGGTAAAAATTTCTCAAAAAACAATGGGTTGCACCCCGCATCACCAAATTCGCTGAAGTTTGGCACAAATGTTTAAAGATATAAGTTAGGAAAGAATGTTAAATTTTTTCAAAAAATTCTCAAACCTTTAAGATTTACAGCAACTTGAAGTTAGTTTTTTTTTGACTGAAAAAAGAGGGGGGATAATGCCGGAAATATGTCAATTTACCATTACCCTTTTAACAAACTTGTAGTAATGTTGCAAAGCTAAAACTTGGTACCAAAGGAGTTTAAAACCTGCTGAATCTGAAAATCATAAACTTATATCTCTCAAAACAATAAAATAAAGTTTATTTTTAGATCCACAAAACGCACTTGTTAATCACAATAAAAAAGGCCATTGACAACTATAGTTCTAGAAAAAATCTGACTGATGAAAAAAAGTTTTGGTTTTCGTTATTTTAATATTAAACATATATCTACTTTGCGAACCAATTTTTATTTGGCCTTATGTTTTATCAAGGAGTTATTGATGTTTTAGTTTTTCAATTTCTCTAAAGATATTTTGCAAAAAAAAAAATTTTGCAAATATATTTTGAATACAAATACAATTATTTTTGTTATGTAATAGCTTTGTAAAAAATTTACAAAGTTATTACAAAACATAGTTGAACATTTTATAAATTTGTTTCTTTTTACTTTCATTACATAATAATAATGTCATTTTCATTACATAATATCATGTCATTAAATTTAACAATATTATGTAACTTTTGTTGTTGATTGTTTTATTGTAATAAAACATTTATTATCATCAATAAAAAAAGTAATAAAATGATATAATAATGTCTAACTAACATCACCATGTTAAGTTACATAACTAAATAAAATTATATTTTGTTATCTTTTACTTTGACACAACTTTTTGTAAGTAGTTAATGGAGAATTTACAATAATTAGTAGATAGTTAGGCATTTAAAATGTCTATTAAACTAATAGCTACTTGTTCAAGCAATATGTTCTTTATAAATACATATTGATATGATATTGTTTGTGTTCAAGTGTACTTTTCTTGTTAGGGGCATTAAGATTATTTAAGATTTCTTGTATTAAGTGTTTAGACAGAGATTCCTCATTATAATTTTATATGGATAACAAAATAAATTGCTGCTTTGTAAATAATTATGGAGCTTGTTATAAACAATCATATACTCAAGAAAGAATTCTGATTGAAGATATTGACAGCAATGATCGTAAGCTACTTGAAAAACGAACAAATCTGAAACAACAACAAATTACTAATATATGCACACACCATCATGATATGTTAGTTGTAAGATATGAGGGTAATCAGAAAAGTTGCTGTAATCCATTTCTGAGTCACCAAAAGGTGTGTAGAGGTAAAAATTTATATATTTATATTTCATTAGGTAATATCATTATTAATAAGTCATATAAGTTTTTTTGGTAATAAGATTTGTTCGATGTTTCATAGTTATTAATATAACAAACTGTATAGTAATATAATTACATAATATATATAATTAATGTTAATTATATATATTATGTAATTATATATACAATTACATAATATATATAATAAAAAGGACTATGTAAGCATAAAGAAAAATGTCCACATGCAAAAACATTTGTACTTATGTAATTTAAAGGAATTGTTTGTTGCCTTTAAAACCAAGAACTCAGAAATAAAAATAGGATTTTCAAGGTTTTGCACCTTGCGACCTAAATGGTGTATTACTGTTGGTGCCTCAGGAACACATTCTGTATGCGTCTGTGCTATTCATCAGAATTTGAAACTGCTTTTACATCCTCTTGGTGTGACATACAAAGAATTGTTACCTTATATTGTCTGTGATATAACTAATAAAGACTGTATGATGAGGAAATGTGAAAAATGCTCAGCAACTATGAATGCATTGGTTGAAAAACTTTATGA